TGTCTCCTAATGGGGTTTTTCCACTTTACTAAATCCAGCTGTTTTATAACCCAGCCTTGCCTTTATGTGCTTTTGCTTGCTCTCGGAGCTCCACTTTGACCTAGCAGGTTGTGGTCTAAAAATGATGCATTTCTTAGTAGACAGTTAAGACAGTGACCCCCATCCATCCACTCCTCTAGTTCTCAGCCCTGGGGGCAACAACCTCCATGTCCCATTGTGGGCAGCCGCGGCCATCTCGGGTTAATTAGTTCCACCAACTTATTTACTCTACATCCTTACGAATGTACCTTTCTTTGCCGAAAATGACACTATTCTGCTTTTGAGAAAACTTATCATCTTCCACTTGCTGGATAATGGCTGCCTCGAGTGGCATCACCGTGCCACCGCGCTTATTAACTGGCCTGCAAATCAGACCAATCCATAACTTTTTGCACGGAACACCATCAGATGTAGATCTATTGTATTATTTTGAAGCAATAACGTAAACAAAGGTAGCATAATATAAACAAATTAAACTGCCACCACGACACACTCCAGAATTAATCTGGAGTTTTTTAAAATAAGTGTAAATCTGAAATTTGAAACAAACACCTTACATCATAAAAAAAATAAAAAAGGTAAAATCAGATTGGGTACCGGTAGTGTGATCATTGTATTTATTAGGGCAAATCATGGGTTAACTTACATGAAAATATATTTGAACTTCACTGAAAATTGTTGCCTTTCAGAAAAATATAATTGATTATCTAGTACTAAGATTTATTATGTCTAAACAATTTAAAGTTTAATTGTTAGTATTGGGGTCTTCCAAATAAAAATTTAAGTTTAGGGTTGGCCAAAATCACTAAATTCACCCCCCAGCTGACACAAGTCAAAACATATAAGACAAGACAAAAAATTCTTTTTATTTACTAGTCAAATAAAAATATGAAAAATATGTATATTTTCTTTGTCTGAAATGAAAGCTTTGTATTTTCTCATTTCAGTTACCGGTACTATTACTATTATTGTGTTGATATTTTATGCTAAATGAGGGGAATAAAATGTCATATCAGTAAAAAGAATAAACTGCATTGTCCAGATTAATGAGACAAATAGGATAGGAATGTCCAAAATTCAGTTTTATAAACTAGATATTTCAAAAATTTTAAATCATACTGTTTTTCACAAAAAATTAATATTAAAAAAATTCTTGCCATTTTGAAATTATTATTGTGAAGCAAATAATTTTTAGAGCACAAATTTATTTCTGAGTAGTAAAGCTATTACAAAAACAATTTCTTTAGCCACAAGTGATATTGTATAAGTTTTCAATGAAGAATTAAATGGTAAAGTATGTCATAAATTAAATCTTATCAAAAGGTCATCAAGTAAATATTAGGTTCTCAAGTTATTTGTACTTATAAACAAAATAATCATTGGTATAATTAAAATAAAATTTCTCAGCTGTGTCGAAATCTGGGACAAAAACTCTCATAGCATTTTCAATCACTGCATTAGCTTCTTCAACACCGGAGTCATAATGATGGGAACTCTTTCTGGCTGGAAAAGTAGAAAAATATTTCAGTCCTCTAATTCTAATGCCACTTGGTTCAAATAACAATTTAAAAAAATTAATTAAATACGATACCCGCAAAACATTTACTTCTGACTTAGTGTTAGTGTTCCCTTAGTTTAAGAATAATTAAAAAAAGACACCTGGTGACAAGGACGGCTGGAGTGACTCAGTTTACATTCACAGCTATTGTTTTTAAGTCATTGGTGAAGTTAGTTCTGGATATTTACTGGAAAAATCATGTTTTAGAATGAAAGTAAGAATGAATTACCTTCATTAACAAAGAAATTGGCAAAGTACTGGGTGACTTTGATGGCATCAAAGCTATGGTCAATGACCTGGTCATCTCGCCAGATAAAAATATTTTTCTCTGGATGCCACTGAACACCATAAAATGGGTACTTGAATGCTGAAAGAGAAATTTGTTCAGAGTATGAAAGAAAATATTCGTATGTGTCCAATAGCCCACCATAGAATACATTATAACATTATGAATTTAAGTCAATAACAAATTAATTTAATTCAACATTAAGTTAAAAATAGCTTGATCATTTAACATTACCTTCAAAGGTTGAAACAAATTCTTTGTTATCTTTGCCAACACTCGTTGTTAGTAAATTATAGAAATTTCCTAGAACTGAAATCTTTTGGTAATCCTAGAGAGAAAATATATGATGAGCAGAATAATGCAACAAAAGTTACAGTTATAATATACGAGTAGCAAGAATCATTTCTATAATTTCATCTGCTGGTATACAAGTTTACTGATGAATGTATACCTGTAATAAAAAAATATATATAAAATAGTAGATATATTGACACTTGTACCATGACAAAAAAAACTAATATTGTAGAGCTACCATCAGAATTCATAACTAATTGGAATGTTTTTAAAAACATATTCTAGATGTCATGATTTTTGAAAACTCTAGTATCCTTTACCAGTGGCGTAGCTAGGGTTGGTGTCACCCGGTGCGGTAAACTCATGGTGTCACCCCCCCTCCCCCCCCCCAAATTTCCATGATGATTTTTTTCTTGTTAAATATAAGTCCACAATATTGCAATAACAAGAACAAAAACAAATAAATCGAAGTCATGAAGTTAATATATTTAAAAACGTTAAGTTATAGCTGTATTTAATTTAAATTTACAATTTAAAATTTTCCCTCCCTTGTCTTCAAAGCTGCAAACCTGTCAATGACTTGATCAAAATCAATGTTTTTTACTGTATCACTTTCAATTGATAGCAGAGACACATCAGAAAACCTTGACTGTCACATGGTGGATCATAAATATTTCTTGATAAGCCTTAGTTTTGAAAAGCTCCGCTCACATGAAGCCACATACACACATATCGTAAGAAAAAATTAAAGCGAGAGTATTGGAAGAGATTCTAGGAAGTCCCATTCAGCTTTGAATTTCAAAACATAAAATACTGACCAGTCCATGACTTTGAGAAATCAGCTGCTTTTAGATGTCTTCTAAGCCTTGATATTTCTATTTAAAGTTCATCTTCTGATAACTCATCATTGAAAGAAGTTAATTTTGGAACGGGTACCAATAAATCTTCTTCACTTGCTGATACTAGACTCTTGGGTTGAACAGACGCAAACATATCTGCTACTTCCTTGATCACTGATGATCTGATGTGGAGTTCAGAATGAAAGCGATCAATACACTCCAGCATCTCCCTACTGTTTTCTTCTCGCAGATGGAGTCCAGCATCTACTAATTGTTATCCTGCCATTCTATTCTTAAACCTTAATCTTCTCTATACCAAAATTCCATATTGGTCTGATTTTAAAAGTTCCTTTTCAATAGCATTCTCCACCAAGTGACGGCGCTTGTCATGCAGAAACAATCTTGATGCCTCTAGGTTTGTCATCACTTTGTCAAGAGTAATCCCTTAAATCTGCAGATACTGCGTAAGATTAACTTCCTCAAGTAGATCAGCCCAAAGTTAAAGGTAGCAGATAAACGTGAAATCACAGACAACATGTAAAAGATCTTGTGCTTAACCTCTTGTATGCAAATTTTTACAAGGTGATGACATAGAGCTTTAATCGCCTCCCCAAAATTCATCAAACATATCTTTCGCTGATTTAAGAGTAGCATGATCAGCACTCCAACGCGTTGTTGACTGTCACCGACATTCCAGTGTGTTCAATTAGAACATTCCATCGATTATTGGATGCAGCAAAGAAGGAAAATGTTCTTTCAAGAGTACCGAATAATGTAATACATGAAGCATTATCTGCAAAAGATGTTGACCACATAAGTGAATGGCCCACACATCCTTTAAAAATTGCTTTCTTATTATTTCCTCCATGGATTCCATACATTAGGGCAGCATTATTGTAACCCTGAGCTCTGGACATCAGTATGTCTAGTCCATCATGCTTTAGTTTGTAAGAATGTCAGAACTGAGGTCATCAGCGTTTTTCATCTTAACGGGAAAAATGCAATAAACACTCCTCTCACTTCGACTTTCCCATTGTGGATTATCACATATCTGATCACTACAAACATCTGGTCACTGTGTGATATATCAGGGGTACTTTCGAAAATAATTCCAAAATACCTCGCAGGCTTTATATCCATTACAAGAAACTCCTTCACATGATTTGCAAGGACACTTATAAATTCATTTAGGATTTCTGGTGAAAGGCAAGATACCTTTTGGGTTTCGATATATAATATTATATATGTCTTCAAAAAAACTTTTCTTTATTTAAATTTAAATAAATAAGAATTAATCATTAAAAGATTTAAAATTGTGTAAAATAATATATTTTTTAACCCTATAAATGGGTAAAATTCATTTTTTCTGTTTTTAATTTTTACCGATTTTTATACTGATAACCGCCCGACCACACTTATTTGGTATCAATGGAAAGCCATATTTCTCAGAATTTAGATAAATATAGCCTCCTGTCACTTAAGGAAGTTACCGAACACTTTAAACGGCATGGAATAATGAATGTGTTTTTCTGAGCTAAACATAGGGTCATTACATTTCTGACACATCAACCTTGAACTTTTAATAAAGCCCGTATTTGGATTGGTTACATTTGTGAAAAAATGTATATGTGATCGGTTATCCTTTTATGAATCTCGGTTAGACCGAGAACCGTGTGCTATGTAAATAAGCAATTTTTCAATCGGGTGTCACCCCTAAAATGGTGTCACCCGGTGCGGTCCGCACCCCCCGCACCCCCCTCGCTACGCCACTGCTATCATCTGTCATGATAATGAGTTTATTAAAATATAACTTTATGTTTCACTGTGGTGGTGGGTTGGGGGGGGGGGAGTCATCTGGTTAGAAGTGTTGTTGTTTTTACATTCATTATGTGGTTATAAAGTACTAATTGGTTTGGTCTATTCGGGGGGGGGGGGCAATAGTATTATGGTTAATAGATGAGTAATGAGTTGCTGAATGTTTTCCAGCCAAACGTCTATGTCCAGTTGAGTTAGACAAACCATGGGAGGAAATGTCAGTGGAAAGAAATCTGCCAGCCCTCAAGTTTTTTCATGATTTCAGCTCTGGTAAGCCTGTTTGTTGCCAGGTAAAATTTATTATTTAGAAGATCTGAGACTATGGGCAGTTAGGGTAAATCTGCCACTGTGGATGTCTATTTTTAATTTATTTCAAAACCTGAAACCTAATCTTTCTTCTTGTTGTGGGGGTGGGGATAAAATGGTGAAAATGTCATTAGATTCCCAGCATTGGATTTGTTGATTTAACAATGATCAAGAAAACAAAATGACCTCTCATTAAAAGCAAATTAATTTCAATATTTTAATGAAGTTCTCATGTCATCAATTATACGCTGTAAACTTGATTATCTGTTTACCCCATCACTCCTCATTTAGTTTAATTTATTTTGTTGGTTACTTTTCACCATAAAATTTATTCAAATGTTTTTTCAGACATCACCTCACTGACCATGGCTTATGGAGTATGCTGGGAGCCAGCATTTGCCCTCTTCAACCTCAGCCTTGACCTTGTCAACCGTCCATCTGTTGATCCCAGCAAACCGTTACCTTTTTGGGATAAGATGCGTCTGCTCTTCCATGGTCGCTTCACCTGGTCCATCACAAAAATGAGCTGGCTGTACCACGCATCTTTTGATCCTTATAATAACACAGAGCTCATGGACTGGTCGTGGACAAATCTAGTTATGGATTGGACCAATGGTCAGTGGTTTAGATAGGGTAGATATGAATATTATCTTTGTTCTCTTACATCTTTAGTTAAAAACCATTACAGTGGCTATCTTTAAAGCCTGTTCAATGTTGTCTCACTATAATTTAAACATTGAGGTTTTGTATCTATTGTAAGAGGACGCTGCTCTGATATACATTTCATCATTTAAATTCTTAATACATTTTCCATCCATCCCTGTGGCGCTACATCCCATGTAGGGCTTTGGCCTGTTTCACCCCTTCCATCCATTCATCCAATTTGCGCTACATCCCATGTAGGGGTTTGGCCTGCCTCACTACTTCCTTCCACTAAGACCATCCATCCATCCCTGTGACGCTACATCCCATGTAAGGCTTTGACCTTCCTCACTACTTCCTTCCACTCAGACCTAACTAATGCTTTTCTTTTCCATGCTTGGATTCCTAGTTGTTGTAGATCTTTTTTCCACATCATCCATCCATCTAATTCTAGTTCTGTCTTATAGCCGTTTTCCTCTGGGGTTTTGGTGATGGACCCTCCTCACTCCTCTGTCCTTTGGCATTCTCTGTAAGTGTCCTGCCCAGCGTAGCTTACCCTTTTTTATTTCTGCTACCATCGTGGGATCCTGATATAGACTACAATTCATGGTTGATTCGTAATAGACCGTAGAATTCATGGTTGATTTGTATTCTCCAACCATATTCATCCTTTGTTGGTCCATATATTTTCATGGGAACTTTTCTCTCCCATGTGTTCAATAGGTTTTCTGCCGTTTTTGATAGGGTCCAAGTTTCACTTGCATATGTTACAACTGGTCTGATTACAGTTTTATAAATAGTTTGCCATTGTAATGTTTTTACTCTTGAGCATTTTTGACTACTGTCGTATGCCCTGTTTCCAGCTTATATTCTTTCTTTTATTTCTATTAGTAATTTTTTTCTTTCATTTAATAAAGATCCTAGGTATTTCAATTGATTTACTTTTTCAAAATTCTGGTTTCTAATACATTTTTAATATTTTATTTTAAAGGCCAGTTTGTACTGCAGGGTGATCTAGATATTTCTGTTCGGACAGCATCAAAGTACAATGAGAGCAAACTGTTGCATTTACCAAACTTAACATTCAGGTATAACTGCTGTTGACTCATACTTAACAATCATGTATGCTACAGTTAGCTCATGTTCAACATTCAGTTACTACTATTAACTCATAATTAACATTATAACTACTGTTAACTTATATTTAACATTCAGGTATAGCGTCTGTTAACTCATATTTAACATTCAGTTATAGCTTCTGTTAAATCATATTTAACATTCTGCTATAACCACTGTTAACTCATATTTAACATTCAGCTATAACCACTGTTAACTCATATTTAACATTCAGCTATAGCTACTGTTAACTCATATTTAACATTCAGTGATAACTACTTTTAATTCATATTTAACAATTAGCAATAGCTACTGTTAACTCATATTTAACTCATGTCATGGTAAATAAAATATTTCAAGAGCTTTAAAAAAAGTTGTTATCCCAATAAGATATTCTTTGTTTCAGGGTTGGACTAGAGTGGCTGTGTCTTGGTGATGCCAATGACCATCATTCTGTCATGCCTTGTGCCCCAGACAGAGTGCCAGATTTTTCTCTTGAGGTAAATCATAGTCATGAGGTGGGAATTTTTAAAAACATTTTTGGTCATTATTGAAAAAGGTATTTGTTTTAACATGAAAAGGTAAAGATAAATGAGAAAAACAGTCCTTCATGATACAATAGGAAATTAATAAAAAATGGTTCTAGGTTAATAATATTAGGTGAATAATTGTTATAGATCTATAGCTCAAGATGATATTGACTCATGGTTCTAGGTTTTAATAAACTAATTGTCTCCAAATTTAGGAACATGACTCCTTCCGAGCCTTCAGGTCTCAACATTTAAATCTTGACCTTAGTCTTAAAACAAGACCTGTGGCTGACAATTTGTGTGACATCCCATCATGCCCTGAGCTTTACGCGAGCACTCTTCGATTCCTGGAAAAAATCAGGGTAATGTTCCGCTCTGCTCATTTGACATTTAGTTTTGAAATAACACAACAGCCCATCAATCCACTCTTGTCAAGCTTATGTAAGCTTATGTAAGAGGTGCTGCAATTCTTTATGACGGTTTCAGTTTTAATGGCTTCTGATCAATGGGCTTCTTACAATTTTAAACATTTCAATAATATTGGAACATTGCTCAAAATAGGATTTTCAAGACTGAAAAAAAATATGTACGATGAATGAAAAAAACCAAATTTCCATTTATTTGGATCAATAAAAGTATCTTGTCTATCTTATCTTATCTTATATTAAAGAACAGCAATATGTTTATAGTGTTGTCATTGGCATAATGTGACATCTAGCAAATAACTTTAGGCCACCTGGATCAATTTGGTGATATATAAAAATGCTTTCTCCTACAGAACTGCATGTTCAGTGTAACACGGCCAGTGAGGAGGGGGAAATTATTTGGTGCTGTTACCCCTCGCAAGCTTCAACTAACTAGACATTATAAGTAAGCACTTTTACCAGACATTATAAGTAAGCAATTTTTACCAGACATTATGATTAAGGATAAACAATATGTAACAAAGGACAGAGAAAAACAGTATGCAAAGAGAACAATACCAAAGCTAGTGATACTAACAATATTTAATCATATCATAAATAATAATAATATATATATATATTAGAGGCCGACCGAATTTCGGCTTCGGTTTCGGCGCCGAAAGTGGCCATTTTATCACTTTTGGCCAAGTTTCGGTTTGGGCCGAAACTGAAAAGTTAACTTTCGGCTTAATTTCGGTTTCGGCCGAAAGAGAAAAGTTAACTTTCGGTTTTTCTTCGGTTTCGGCCGAAAGTATCCGGCCGAAAGTGACTCAGTTTTTCGGTCATTTAATACTCAGCGAAAGCGATATTTAACAACAAACTAAGCGACATTTAAGAACAAATTAAGCGATCTTTGAGAACAAACTAAACGATCTTTAAAACAAACTAAGCGATCTTTAATAACAAACTGAACAATCTTAAAGAACAAACTAAACGATTTTTAAGACCGAACTAAATGATCTTTAAGAACAAAACAAATGATCTTTAATAGTAAACTAAATGATTTATAAGAATAAACTAAGCTATCTTTAACAGAAAACTAAATGTTCTTTAGGAACAAACTAAAAGATCTTTAAGAACAAACTAATCGATCTTAAGGAACAAAATCAATTATCTTTAAGAACAAACTAAGCGATCTTTATGAAAAAACTAAGCGATCTTTACAACAAACTAAGCGATCTTTAAAAACAAACTAACCGATCTTTATGAACAAACTAACCAATCTTTAAAAAAAAAATAATGCGATCATTAACAAAAACTGGATGATCTTTAACAACAAACTAAGCGATCTTTAAGAACAAACTAACCGATCTTTAACAACAAACTAAACAATCTTTAACAACAAACTAAACAATCTTTAACGTCAAACTAAGCGATCTTTATGAACAAACTAACTGATCTTTAAGAACAAACGAACCGATCAAAAACAACCAACTAAACGATCTTTAGAAACAAATTAAGCGATCTTTTAGAACCACATTTTTTAGAGACCCTGTTTAAAAAAAAAATATTTTTCATTAATTTCCCCTCCTCCCCCACTCCCCAATTTTTGCCAAATTTTCTCCTACCATACTAATTTTTTTAAAATGGTAAAGCAATTTAAATTACTTTTATATTAAAATGGTAAAATCCAAAGTATTCATTAGATCATATGCTTGTACATGGATTGATGGATCTTGACCAAACTTGGCACATATATCCATCATTATCCGGAAGGTACTCTTAAGGGATTATAAACTTTTTATAACTTTCCGTTTGGGGCCGGGGGCCCAAAATGCTGTTTTTTCCTATATGAGCTATATAAATAAAATTACTAAAAAATGCTCCTACATGAATGGATGGATGTTGACCAAACTTAGAACGCATACACTTGATTATCCATGTCCAAATACCGAAGGGTACAGAAATCATAAGATCCATCCCTTTGGTGCCGGGGGCCCCGATTCATTTTTCTTATATAAGCTATATAATTATCCATTGGCTAAAAATACTCCTACATGAATGGATGGATCTTGACCAAACTTAGAACTAGGGGTGTGCCGGAGTCCGGTCCGGAATCCGGTTCCGCCGGATTTTGCACTATCCGGTGAAATCCGGTTCCGCCGGATTTACATGTATCCTGAACAACCGGATTCCGGAATCCGGAATATACCGGATTTCGGAATTTGCCAGATTTTGTGACTCACTGGATCATAATCTGAAATAAAAGTAATTCTCTTTCCCGAATTCCACACGATCACGATACATTAATCGATTGTTTCGAGCGTTGAGCTTGTTTAATGTTTAATATTCCGTACATACCAGAGGCTAGAGTCAGCACCGCTAATAGTGGCCAATAGTGTAGGGACTTTGATAAGAAAATTTAAACTTTTTGTAAAAATAAACCAATGGCATAGTTGAAAAGATGTAATTTTTTAAAGAATTATAACACCAAAATCATATTTTTAGCTGTTGTAGTTTTAAAGTTATGAATTTTTAAAGTACGACTTGGTTTGTCATTTTTTAACATGGACTGCATCTCCACATTCTGTGATCTCATTCCGCCAATCCCGTCATGCGCAATGACTATATAGTTTATATAAGGCAACGCATTCCCTGCCTTATCACTAAAATACTGTTTAGACTTAGTTTAAACTTTCAACTTTGGCACATGAATAATTAATTAAAGCTTTCCCTGACCAATGGTTTAATAGTTTTTGCACACGGCAAACTCTTATGAATGAAACTCTGAGGTAGTACTACGATACAGTTATGCAAGTGGCTGTGAATGGTTGCCAATGACAACGTGTTGCACACGGTAAATTCTGATCATTTATAATATGGATTCTACCGGGTTGTTAAAGCTCAAATTAAAACATTCCAGTTTAAATGTCTTTAAATGCATTCTGAAACACAAGTTATCAATTATTTTGATGTAAATAGTGATAATAAATTAATATTTCCTAAGTATCGTCAACTTCCGCCATTAAAAAGGGGGGCGTGGCCAACCCCATGGCGAAATTAGGTTGAGCGAGCTGCATAACCTGCTGCGAACGCGTAGAAACATGGCGTCTCTCGTAAGACACATATCCAAATGGAACGGAACTCAAATATATATCGAAAGTACTAATTTAATAATAAATAGACACACACATCGGAAAATTAAAAACTCGGATTTTTTGGCGCCGATTGCGAATTCCCATACACAAAAAGTAGTAGTCCACCTTGACTTACCGAAGTATCTACCAATAGTACCGGAATCCGGGAGAAACCGGAATCCGGATTATTCCGGAATCCGGCGGATTTGGCATAAGAAAATCCGGATCCGGTTGGAAAAAACGGATCCGGCACACCCCTACTTAGAACACACACACTTGATTATCCATGTTCAAATACCAATGGGTACCGAATTCATTATTTACCATTCCTCTGGGGGGCCCCATTTCATTTTTCCTAATTTAAGCTATATAAATATCAATAGGCTTAGACAACACTATAGTTTCTATGTGAATTGATGGATATAGGCCCTAGTGTGGTAGCAATACACTTCATTGTCCATATTGAAACATCGGTGGATTTAAAACTAAGAATATCCAATCTAGAATTTTCCAGAAAGTTCGATAATTTTAAAAAGCTATATATATATATATATGGCATTTTTAAAATGATTTTAAAATCAGAGAAGAGGATCCCACCGGGAAATGGGATACTAATGGGATCAGCATCCTAACAGGATCTGGATCCCACTCGGATCAAAATCCTATGGGAAAACTCAAACCTACCGAGATCGGGATCCCATTGGTATCGCGTTATCCCACTGGTATCGAGTTTCTATCGGGATCGGAATACCGATGGGATTGGGATCATACTGGAATGGGGACCCAGCGGGATCAGAGTCCCACTGGGAACTGGTATACTAATGGAAGTCGGATACCGATGGGATTGGGAGCCCACAGGGATCGGAATAATTATAAGGCTGTAGACTGTAGAAGTTCCTTCGTTCTGAAAGCTATCCTGGCAAATGCCGGGTATATCCGGTAGTTTAATTATACAAATAAATTTCTATACAAATACAAATTTGAGAACAGAAGCAAACAACTGTATCAACTTACAGCTGGGTGGCCGAGTGGTCTAAACTGACTCACTCCAAATAGTGGTGGTCTGGAGTTCAATCCCCACCAAAGCCAAAATCCCAAGCACCCAGGGGGGATGGGACTCGTTAGCTTTGGAAGGCAACTCATCTAACAGAAGGCTAACTCTGAATTCAAACCAGGAGCCAGAATGACCAAAAAGTTGATCATGGGCCCTCAAATATGAAAAAAAAAAAATTGAAAATGGTACACTCCTCAAATTACAAATATTAATATTCCCAAACACAATTATATAACGTCTCCTATAGCGAAAATCTCTCTCTCACTTTCTCTATCTTTCTCACTCTGTATATCTGCTAAGAAAGCATGCTGTCTATATATATGGAACAAATCAGAACGATGTAGTAAAGAAATTCTAGAAATTGCGTCACCTGATGGCAATCTTTAGACCAAATGGAACGCATTTGAACAAACAACCTTTCCCAATTAAGGACAGGTTGGGTATGGAATGCCATAGCACATTCACTCAGAGACATCAGTATTAAGGCCATACTAATGGAGACAAGTGTGGTGGCTAAAAATAGGTCTAAGCTATGCGCTGTATTAGGCTTTACGTTATCATAATGGAGTTCATTTTTTGTTGTTGAAGGAAAATCAAATTATCTGTGGACTTCCATAAGTTTGTCATCTGTCACTGGATGTCAAATGCCAAGGAACATGGTGCAGAGCTGGTCTCTGATTCGTTTGTTCTACAAGTAAGTGGAAATTATATTGGCCTATTTAAACAGTGGGTGTTTAACATTAACAGTCCTGCCAGATGTAAATGAATGTCTTCTGAAACACTCCTCTAGTAGTAATAGATTGAATGTTTTAATCGCCAGATGTACAGTAGATTAAATGAAAATCAATGTTTTGATTCCAAGATTTGCAATAGATTGAATGAAAATCAATGTTTTAATCCCCAGATGTGCAATAGATTGAATCTCATACCAATAGAAGATGGTCTTCTACATCGACCTAGAGCTGAATGGAACATTAAATATCTGAAATGTCACCTGGGACCTACACGCATCTACCTGTGTAAAAATATTGGCAAGGATGAGGTTAGTACTGACCTTAAATAGCACCTGGAACCTCTGTTAAAATAGATAACAATAAAACATTTTGGTGGCAGAAATAATGAACTAGTTTTTACTGATTTTTATTGCAGGCCAGCACTACACCTGGGACAGCGGACAGGAGTTTTTTCCTCAGTGTGACCAAGTAATTAACTTTCAAATCTCTATAAAAAATATGGACTCCCAGGCAATAAGTCAGGGTCCCATCTGAGAAATCATAAGTAATAATTTGGAAAATGAATCTTTGTTGATCTAACCATCAGCCAATCAGTCAAAGCCTTGGTTGTTTAAGTTATACATCAAGATAAATATAAATTATTTTTATTGCCAAATATGTCTGTCATTGATCAATAGAGTACAAAGACAAAATTAGTATAGAAAACAATAAGCTGGAGTTATGTATAATTAATCCATTGTAAAAAATTTCTTTCCTAGAATCAGCTATCAGAGGGCAGACAGAACAAACAAGAAAGGAAATAAGGAAGAGGATCTTGAGCAGGTTTGTATAAGTGTTTGGTTCATTACTGTCATAGTCTGTACAAGTGTATGTTTCATTACTGTCATAATTTGTACAGTGTATGTTTCATTACTGTCATAGTTTGTACAAGTGTATGTTTCATTACTGTCATAGTTTGTACAAGTGTTTGTTGTATTACTGTCATAATTTGTACAAGTGTTTGTTTTATTACTGTCATAATTTTGTCTGAAAAATCTAGTCCAATCAGTTATCGCAAACGGCTTGACCTCAAAGCAATCTATTATCAAATTCGGAGTACCCCAGGGCTTGGTCCTAGGCCCGGTGCTTTTCATTATGTAAGTTCAGCCCCTGGGTGCAGTGATCAAGCAGTTTGACATGCTATATCACATGTTCACGGATTGTACCCAACTTCAGCAGTCCATGATCCCCTCTCAGTTCCCTGAGCTTCTTAGTATGACACATAAGACAGTGGAGTCAGTTAAGCACTGGAGGACCATAAACAAGCTCAAATTGAACGATGAAAAGACCAACCTGATCCCTATTGCTACCGCTCAAAAGCTAAAATCTGTAAATAACACACCATCCCTTACTCTCTCATCTCTCAGGTGTGCAGATTGAGTTTTCTCAAACAGTGCGAAACATGGGTGTCTACTTAGACAGAACACTAACTATGGAGAATCAGAATCACATTAACATGCTTTGCAAGGCGATTTTTCTAGAGCTGCGCAGAATTAGTCATATCAGACATTTGATGCAACAAAGAGACTGATGTCTGCATTCGTACTATCAGGCATGAACTACTGCATTGCTCTAATGGTGGGTCTTCCAGCAATGCTCCTGGATAAAATTCAAAGAGCACAGAATAATGCGGCTCGCATTGTTCTTCGCAAACGCATATTCGGCCATGCTAAAACACTTCTGAGAGAGCTGCATAAGCTGCCGGTCCGCGCTCGCATAGAGTACAAAATTGCCATCCTATCTCAAAGCACTCATGACACCTTATGTACCCACTAGACAATTCCGCTCATCCCATGGTGGCAAACTCTTGATACCGCGTGTTCACCTTGAGACTAATGTAAGGCGCACTTTCGCATTTGCTGGCCCAACAATTGGAACACACTTCCAGTTGCTCTCAGAAACAGGCAGACACTGGAGTCCTTCAAAACGGAACACATCTATTTTGAAAACACCTGTTGGGGTGATGTTGTCTACCATCTTTTCCAACTAGCTTTGTCTCGTAGATGTATATTGGCTTTTGTTATTTATGGTTGCAAGGGATGAAAGACTTTGAATGGCAATGCTCGTATGAGGATTTTGTATTGTTGCGGTTTGTATTTCAATGTGGTAAAATTTAGATTGGTTTTCATTTCTCTTTTAATATGGTTGACTTTGTACCGCTCTTCGAGCCTTTGGGGATGAAGCGCGATTTTCAAATAAACTTTATTATTATTATTATTATAGTTTGTACAAGTGTTTGTTTCATTACTGGTTTGTTTTATTACTGAACAATTTTGTATTAGTGTTTTTGTACAAGTGTTAGGTTTTTACTGAAAGATTTTGTACAAGTGTTAGGTTTTTACTGAAAGATTTTGTACAATTGTTAGGTTTTTACTGAAAGATTTTGTACAAGTGTTTTATTTTTCTTAACCCACCATGTTTTATTTGATTCTTTACTATGATGTTTTTATATGTTGCAAGACTATAAGGGTTTGTACTAGTTGTTTTTTTTTCTCATTTTTTTCAAAATTTGATCCACAATTTCAGAAATTTGACATTTTTTAAGTTCTTAAAATAAGACATTCTATGTCTGAGAAAAGTTTTTTAAATATTTTTTTTTAAAAACAAAATTAAAAAGTTTGATCATAGTTTGTTTTTAGTTAAAATATTTATTTTAATCTGTTATTTTCTATCCACAGAGAATCCCAACTCACGGTGTCTCTATCCATGAGATGAAAGGTGCCTGGAATCAATTCAACAGGACGGTGGTCATGAATCTGTATGACAGTTACATGAGAGCCAAAGCATTGAGGAGAAACCTTTCTTCTGAGGCCCTGAAAGGCTTCAAGCTGGAAACAACACCAAATGTCACGGTTGGTAAACCCTTAACAGGACACAGGGTGTGTTGCTCGTTGTATTTAATCAAACTAATAGTTCATAGTGGGCTTTACGGTTGGGCATTTAAAAGTACAATGATCTGCACAAGTTAACTTTTTTTATAAAAACCTCTCGCGTACAAATTTTTTATTAGCTTAAAAAATATTATGAAGTACAATATGTTAATAATATAATATTTTAAGTCATAAATGCTATGTTCAGAATGTATGATGTAGACCCCAATTTATTTATTCAGCTCATAATCAAGAATTCTTTCACATTAACAATTTTACAATCTCAATTAAAAAATTATAAGAATTAAATACAAAAAAGTTAAGTTGGCAACTGCACAAATGTCATGTGTGGAATAATGTTGAAGTTTGTATAAAACTGTGTTGAGCTCCAAAAACCATTCCCCATACCACACAAACTACATTTCTTTGATCCAGGCTCCCCACCCCCTTGCCCCAACACTAACACATTTAATCTGAAATTGACTCAAGATTAATGTTTTTATAAAAAATTATTAAATGTTGAATTATTTTATTGTCTAAAGATACAATTTTTGTTTCCAACCAGAAGAATCGCTCATTTTCACTGAGCAGCCCAGATGCAGCAGCCCCGAATGTGGATGGCAATGTTGATTTGGTCAACCCCAGTCCCTTGAGTAAACTGCAGATGGGCCATGCCCACTCCATGTTAATGAAGCTGGTGTCTGAGTCAGACAGCAAATCAGTGGCTTTCACAGAGGAGGTCAGAACTTATACTGATGTCAAGAATCCTTAAGATAAATAGATTTTCTTATAAATTTTTTTTCTCTTTCGAATTGTCTTTAAATTTAATGTTATTTGATTAAAAAAATCTTCTTTTTTATTTTTTGGGACCGTTAGCTTCTGATGATAAATGTGTTCAAAATTGATTGACACTAGTGAGATGAAGGAAATGCCACTGGGTAATAGAAGTCACCAATATTGACTGACTCAAAAGACAGAACATTTCTAACAGACAGACATCGCTGTCAAATATTTTGTTGTCTAATATATTCCAATGGCAAATATTCCATCTAACGTTATGTCAGACTAGTTTTGTGTCAGATATTGTCTCTCACTTGTCCACAACACTGAGTAGTGTATTTTATACTGTACGTGTATTTCAATTAATTCAAACACTGAAGAGCTCATTGTACACTATGCGTTTAATTCACTGTACTAAACATCCACTTGGTACACAAAGAAGTTGTTACCTCATTACATCCAGAAGAAAATATTATTTGACAAAAAACCCCACAGAAAATCTAACCCAAACTATTCTCTCTCTCTCACGCTCACTCTGACGCTCAAAATCGTTCTCTCCCTTTATATCTGAAAAATCCATGCACCTTTCCTTGACATGAAAAGAGTTCACGCTCGTTCACTTAACTTGTTGTCACAAACCACAATACACACCGTACGTCTGATTCCATGACCTTGACAATCGCCAATTAGGTTTGACTAAATAACCCCAGCAGTAAGGGCATATATCAAAGTGATGTTGTTAGTTTGAAGCGCATGTAAATATTAGTTGAAACAAATGTCATAATAAAGTTGTTATAACTCTTATCTATGCCATTTTATCAAGTTATTGTAAAGTTGTTACTACTCTTATCTATGCTATTTTATCAAGTTATTGTAAAGTTGTTACTACTCTTATCTATGCCATTTTATCAAGTTATTGTAAAGTTGTTACTCCTCTTATCTATACCATTTTATCAAGTTATTGTAAAGTTGTTACTACTCTTATCTATGCCATTTTATCAAGTTATTGTAAAGTTGTTACTACTCTTATCTATGCCATTTTATCAAGTTATTGTAAAGTTGTTACTACTCTTATCTATGCCATTTTATCAAGTTATTGTAAAGTCACATTTGAATAAATGAACGAAATGAAATTCTTCCAGCCATCTGACGCCAATGTGGACCAGCTTCATGGACTCAGAGCTTGCAAGCTGACTGATATACTACAGACTAATTGGCAAAGTGAGTACTGATATACTACGTACATTTAGCAAGGTAAGTACTGGTACTGATATAATTTATACTATTTAGCAAGGTAAGTACTGGTACTGATATACTTTATACTATTTAGCATGTATACTATATGTATCCCTAAATATTTCGGTCCGTTAAAATTCTTGACCTTATTTTTCACAGTAACAATATTTATATTTTTTTCACTTCCTGTAATCCTACTTCTGGCAACAACCAAGGAGATCTCTAAAGTTTTTTACTGTGCTCTATTTCTTATCGTACTTCTATCTGTCCTGTTCACTGAAGAAGGCTCTAAGCTGAAATGTCCACATATTATTGCCATGTCTTTTGATTCAAGCTTCAACATACCTTGTTTTACTATTGCATAAGTAGTGCTACTGGTATACTTTATACTATTTACCAAGTAACATCTCTAATGCTCTCCCCATCCACCTAACATCTCCAGTTGAACTACACAATAGCCAAGTTGTGCTGAAGGGCTGTGAGACACCAGGGTATGTCATAGTCAGTGCTGCCAGGGCCAAGGTCACTTCATACACACACATGCCAATATGGAGGCAAGGTCAGCTCAGGTCAAAGTCCACATGGAATGGAGATGTTGACTGTATGCAAGTGAGTCAAGTTTCTTTCCAGAAAGCTTCAAGCAAAGTTCCATCTTATGTATGGATACAGTATGAAAATCTGAACATTTGGAGTTCTCCATCTGAATATTTGGGGTTCACCTAGTGGACATTCCATCTGGATATTTGGTGGTCCACCTAGTGGACATTCCATCTGGATATTTGGTGGTCCACCTAGTGGACATTCCATCTGGATATTTGGTGGTCCACCTAGTGGACATTCCATCTGAATATTTGGGGTCCACCTAGTGGACATTCCATCTGGATATTTGGTGGTCCACCTAGTGGACATTCCATCTGGATATTTGGGGTCCACCTAGTGGACATTCCATCTGGATATTTGGGGTCCACCTAGTGGACATTCCATCTGAATATTTGGGGTCCACCTAGTGGACATTCCATCTGAGTATTTGGTGGTCCACCTAGTGGACATTCCATCTGAATAATTGGGGTCCACCTAGTGGACATTCCATCTGAATATTTGGGGGTCCACCTAGTGGACATTCCATCTGAATATTTGGGGTCCACCTAGTGGACATTCCATCTGGATATTTTTGGTCCACCTAGTGGACATTCCATCTGAATATTTGGGGTCCACCTAGTGGACATTCCATCTGGATATTTGGGGTCCACCTAGTGGACATTCCATCTGAATATTTGGGGTCCACCTAGTGGACATTCCATCTGAATATTTTGGGGTCCACCTAGTGGACATTCCATCTGGATATTTGGTGGTCCACCTAGTGGACATTCCATATGGATATTTGGTGGTCCACCTAGTGGACATTCCATCTGAATATTTGGGGTCCACCTAGTGGACATTCCATCTGAATATTTGGGGGTCCACCTAGTGGACATTCCATCTGAAAATTTGGGGTCCACCTAGTGGACATTCCATCTGGATATTTGGGGTCCACCTAGTGGACATTCCATCTGAATATTTGGGGTCCACCTAGTGGACATTCCATCTGAATATTTGGTGGTCCACCTAGTGGACATTCCATCTGGATATTTGGGGTCCACCTAGTGGACATTCCATCTGGATATTTGGGGTCCACCTAGTGGACATTCCATCTGGATATTTGGGGTCCACCTAGTGGACATTCCATCTGAATATTTTTTGGTCCACCTAGTGGACATTCCATCTGAATATTTGGGGTCCACCTAGTGGACATTCCATCTGAATATTTGGGGGTCCACCTAGTGGACATTCCGTCTGGATATTTGGTGGTCTGTTCTCCTTTGTCATAGCACTTGTATTTCTGTCCATATTTACTACACTCTCAACCATTGCTTTAATATTAATCAGTAGGATTAACTTGGTGAATAAATTTATTTGACAAAAATTGTGGTTATTGTTGTATGTATCCGACAATGTTTGTATGACATATTTATTCAATGAGAATTTCCTTAAGTTCTATTTGTTATATAGTTATATATATATATATATTGCTATATAGTTAGTAACACACTCCTCTAACTTTAATTTTTTTAGATGCTCCAGTAATTCGATATGATTTCCTGTTTACTGTCAATACTGTTATTTGAGTTTATTTTTTATTTTATTTTTCTTATTTTGCTTTTGAAAGGCTTCTTGGTCAAAATGTCCTTTGTTCTGTTTTGTGATCTTTCAGGTTTTCCCCTATGTGTTATATTATCATATTCTCTCACCATAGTACTACGCTACAGTTGACCCAAACAACAGCTATGAGAGGGACAACATTCCATGGCTGTCCAGGGAAAACGTAGAGGACAGGGCCTACACTGACCTTAGTGGCTTAACTGAGATGATCAGCAGTGGTCAGTCAGTGGGCAGTGTGGTCAGTAGTGTAGTCACAGGTGTCAAGCCAGCCTCTGACCAGGTCTGTACCTAATATGCTAAGTACATCCTAAGTTAAACTGTCTATGCTGCTTGTGGTTGGTATTCACTGTAAACAAAGGACTAAAGTAAAGTAGATCCACTTATTATTTGTACATAAAAGATGCTACTCTGTTCAAAAATTGAAATTTTTTTACATCAAATTTTTGCATATTTAAATTAAGAATTTTAAAATATTTAAATACAATGTTTCATTTATAATTTGATTGATTGTGAAGGAATGGGCTGCAAAAAAAGCAACATTTTTTAATATCACATTTTTGCAATTTAAATTAAGAACTTAAATATATTCTATACAAAGTTTATTACAAAGGAGATTACATATATGAAAATGAAAAAAAGTTCTAAATTTAATTTTATAGATTGAAACTAATTTTATGTATTCACTTGCATAAAATGATGTAGCACAACAGATGATGTCAATTTTTAAATCATAAATGTAGCGTAGGTGATTAGCCCGTACCATAATATTTCCTTCTATTTGCTAGACCTCATCTGCTGATACTGTACAGCTCCAGAGAATCATCTATCGGTGCAGTTGTAAATTTTTCTATGCCAACTATGGAGACGTTGACCCAAATAACTTGCCTGAAGTTCCCCTACCTGTAAGTAAATGTGGAGAGAGCACAGCCATACAATCAGATAATCATTAATATTACTCAGCTATGTAATCCCATAATCATTAATGGGACATCTCAGTGTAATGAAATAAGGGTTAATAAAACACACCAATGGAATCAAATAATCATTGATATATCAGCTCATTGTAATTCATCAAGTACAGAGAGAGAGTGTATCATTAAAATGCAGTAACACTAATAGACTTTGTTTTCTTCTCTCTGGCAGCCAGCAGAAGATACTGACGTCATGAGTATAGAGGAGGGTGTTGACACGTTTACATTACTACACGAGAGTGTATATGCCTACTCCAATCCTGTGAGTAACCTTGACATTCCTTATGTTTTTTGTTTGTTAATATCATTTGAAAGTAACATTACAATTATGTAACTTGACATTAAAAATAATTTGGACATTTATAATAATTATTTTCTTTCGACTCAATTTAGATTAACTTCACCCTTCCCATGTCATGTTACAGGGCACTACTCCAATAATAACTGACTTATAAAGAAATTACTAGTAACTGTTAAATACCATATCCCCTGGCGTGTAGGATGCACCCTTGGTTTGGGGGCATTACATGTCCCATTTTTTAACATAAATATAACTGGAATTTGTTCAACAGACTACAAAAATGTTTTCCATAGCAATTTGAAAAGTGAAAAGCAGTTGTCATAAACTTCATGATCTTTAAAAAAACTGATTGTCTTCTGCTTGTGTGTAAGTGTAAGCAAGAATAAGGGAGAAAATGATGTCGAGAATTTTCGTATCAATGAAATATTCCACCCTGCATAACAGTAAGTGAAATTGATTTTGAGGCAATCGGTCCCAGCCTGAGTTTATAAAAAAAAAAAAAAGAATTGCTACCTGTACTCAAGTATTCATGGTTAATACTGCCACGTCCAGTGTAATACTGCCAGGTCCGGTGGTCTTATGTACATGCAGCAGTCAAGGGGTTAACTTTCATTTTTAACTCTTATCCTAAGCTCCAGTTTTCTGTCATCATGGATATTGTCAACAACCTTTTGCTCTATGTAGAACCCAAGAAGAAGGTAAGTGTAACGGCATAGATGTTGTCATGGTAACCAAGTCGTGCATAAATATAAATTAGTCACAAAAATGAAAATGATTTTTTAATTTTTATATTAAGTTTGATTATTTGATAAAAAAGCCGACTTTGTATTTAAGAATCTTGTGTTATCTGTTCAATGAATGCCGTTGACTGTGTTTACAAAGATGCTCTATTTCTGCACTGTCCAGGCCGCCAGTGACCGACTTCAGAATATGAGGTTTAAACTACAACTGTACAGAGATGAGGATCAGAAGACACCCATCTTACAGCTGCAGGAAATAGTCAGGTAATAATACTGGTGATATCTGTGTCACAGAAATGAATCAGTGTACTTGTCTGTGTGTACTTGTTTGTGTGTGTACGACATCACTGATGTCACAGAAATGAATCAGTGTACTTGTCTGTGTGTACTTGTCTGTGTGTGTACGACATCACTGATGTCACAGAATTGAATCAGTGTACTTGTCTGTGTGTACTTGTCTGTGTGTGTACTTGTCTGTGTGTACTTGTCTGTGTGTGTACGACATCACTGAATCATGGAATCATTTTGTTTTTTGGGGTTTTGGGTAGGGATGTTTGAAAACATAATGGACAGAAACTTTGTGTGTTTTGGGAATGTTTGTGTCATGTATGAGAGGTGAGTTGTTTGGTTTGTACCAGTCGGGTACTTAATGGTGTCAAAACCTGGTTTGTAGCAGTCGGGTACTTAATGGTGTCAAAACCTGGTTTGTACCAGTCGGGTACTTAATGGTGTCTAAACCCCTACCCTACATAATGTTTGTCTGTGGCTCAATGCCATGAATTTTTCCATCAATGGAGGTTTGAAAACTTTTGCCTTAGAAAAAGAATGTTAAAAGTGCACAGTTTTACCTGTGTATGGATGTAGGACATTTTGTATACACATAGAGAATGAAATAGTTCAACTTGAATATTTCAGAGAGAAAGTTCAAGAGCTGCGTTTACTAGAAAAGGAATATTACATTGCCAAGACTCGTGATGATGAGGAAAGGTAAATGGTCATAAGCTTCGTGATGATGAGGAAAGGTAAATGGTCATAAGCTTTGTGATGATGAGGAAAGGTAAATGGTCATAAGCTTCGTGATGATGAGGAAAGGTAAATGGTCATAAGCTTCGTGATGATGAGGAAAGGTAAATGGCCATAAGCTTCGTGATGATGAGGAAAGGTAAATGGTCATAAGCTTCGTGATGATGAGGAAAGGTAAATGGTCATAAGCTTCGCACAGTACCAATTTTGTTTTGAAGGAACATTTGACAAGATTTTAGGCAGAGAATTTCTCTAACTGTAATATAACAAAGAAAGTTTCATCATTTTTTGCCATTTCTTCAGGATGGAGTTACTGGAAGTAAAGATGGATGAAATGAAAAACTGGATTGGTCTCAAAAATGAGGAGTTGGGGATGAGAATCAGGTAGGTGCATGGATATGGATTTCTTAAGATGTTTCTTGGAAAAGTGAGGGGTGGAAGGGTTAAAGGTCACTTATTTCCATGTCATTAAATAATTTACACCTGCACAGTCATATATTTATATATATTATCATTAAGTAAGTATTTTTTCCAAACTATTTCCTCAGTTGTTATAATGAAAGTCAACTCCAAGTTAAAGCCCAGCTCAAGATGGAAAAAGGTAAGAACAAGACATGAACTGTAAGTAGACGTCTTGTAGCTCAGAGGATCTCAAAACTGTAAGGGCTTGATTATGATTCTTTCAAATGCCAAAAAGTTGAGCAACCCATGGTTTAGATCAGGGGTCTCCAAACTACGGCCCGCGGGCCCTCTCATGCAGCCTGCGGAGACCTTTTTGTTTTACGGAAAAATTTACGGATATTTACGTGCATCCTGCCAAGACCAGACGCCCCTTACGTGGACGTTATGTTTTTACCAAATTAAAATAGAGGCAAAATAAAATGCAAGCAAGTTTCACCAATTTTTAATTGCAATGGATGAATCGCTGGACAGCTGTTCCACCTCTTAACTACTTGTGTTCCTTAGAGGTGTGGATGAAGAAATGAACATAATACAAGAGCTGACTTCCCTACATAGCATGTACGACACTGTAACAGGAGAGGATATATTCAATGAGTTGGAAAAAACATTTGCTGATTATAACTTGGACTGGACTAACCTCAGTTGTCTGACTGTTGACAGAGTAAATAATATGAAAGGCATGATTTGACAAGTGAAGCAGATGTGTAATGAGAAAAAATTTCTGCAACCAATGTTCCTGCACTGTATTATTCATCAGAAAGCTTTGTGCGAAAAATATGTGGACATCAGCAGCGTACTGAATCCTGTGGTGAAGAGGGTTAATTTAATAAGGTCACATGGGCTCAACCATAGACAGTTCTGAGACCTGTTGAAAGATACAGACACAGAATCGCAAGATTTACCATATTACACAGCAATAAGATGGCTAAGTTGTGAGAAAGTTCTGAGCAGAGTATTTAAGTTAAGAAAGGAAATAGGTGACTTCCTGGGAAAGTAAAGGCAAACCACAGCCATTACTGTCTGATGAAGAGTGGGTATGGAAATTGGTCTTTGGTGCAGACATAACTAGTCATATAAATTTCCTGATCTATGCACCCACCTAAAGACCTTCAGATCCAAACTCGTCTTGTTTTTGGAACAAGTACAGGCCAACAACTTGACGCAATTTCAGCAGTGGACGGTCTTCTAGGCTGAAGCAACAGCGGAGTTCTCCATGTCATCTGTATGCGAGATCATCATAGAAGACCCCCAGCTGCAGTTTCAGCAGCGGTTTTCTGACTTGGATTTAAAGGCAGAAGAAGTGAGCCTTTTTCAAAACCCATTTGAAGCAGATGTGGCCAGTCGCCCAGATGAACTGCATCTGGAGGTCATTGAGTTGCAAGCAAATGACCTCCTTAGGGACAAGTTCAAAGGAGGACCGTTGGATTTTAACTAGTTTTGGCCCAAGGAAGACTTTCTTATTTCAAAACATTTGCATCAATTTATCTTTCAAACTTTGGAACAACATGGCTGTGTGAACAAACATTTGCATCAATTTATCTTTCAAACTTTGGAACAACATGGCTGTGTGAACAAACATTTGCATCAATGTATCTTTCAAACTTTGGAACAACATGGCTGTGTGAACAAACATTTGCATCAATGTATCTTTCAAACTTTGGAACAACATGGCTGTGTGAACAAACATTTTCATCAATGTATCTTTCAAACTTTGGAACAACATGGCTGTGTGAACAAACATTTGCATCAATGTATCTTTCAAACTTTGGAACAACATGGCTGTGTGAACAAACATTTGCATCAATGTATCTTTCAAACTTTGGAACAACATGGCTGTGTGAACAAACATTTTCATCAATGTATCTTTCAAACTTTGGAACAACATGGCTGTGTGAACAAACATTTGCATCAATGTATCTTTCAAACTTTGGAACAACATGGCTGTGTGAACAAACATTTGCATCAATGTATCTTTCAAACTTTGGAACAACATGCCTGTGTGAGCAAACATTTGCATCAATGTATCTTTCAAACTTTGGAACAACATGGCTGTGTGAGCAAACATTTTCAAGAACGAAATAAGTGAAGAACAATTTGAGAACAAATTTGTCCGATGATAATCTCAGGTCACTGTTGATGTTAGGGATATCAAATCTAAATCCAAAAATGTCTGCTAATCACTACTATTTTGGCATCCAGGAAACAATTTCACCATTCCCACTAATACAGGTGTTCATGTGTCATGCATCAATGTGTTATTAAATAATAACTGAATTAAATAATAATACATAAATAATTAAAAACAACATCCATGTTTTGATTCTTTTTAATTTAGATCTCGAGTGTGTAGTAGGCCCCTGAACTGCTGTTTGATAGTTAATGCGGCCCTCGGGCTGAAAAGTTTGGAGACCCCTGGTCTAGATATTGGTTCTGTAGATTGAGTCCCATGTTTCTGATAGAAGTTTTAATAGGTTGTTTTTTTTATTCTATTCAGCTCAACAAGCCCAGGTGGTGAAGAGGAACGAGGTATGTTTCAAATATGCAAAGTGGCGTATGACAGAAAAAGATGGCCACTGTGGTATAGCTGAGTTGGAGCTGCGTAATTTTGTGTGAGTTATTGATTACAATTGCTAACTTATTTATTTCTTGATATGTTAAATTTAATAGCACGTCCGACACAATGGTGTAGACTTTGCCGGATGAAATCACAAGGCCTGGGATTTTTTTCTTTAGGAATATAAGCTGGTTCCCTAGATGGCAAATCGCCTATCTCCAGGCAAATGGATAACCCAAGGGAACCTCATATTTGGATGATATAGCTTGGCACCAGTTGCGTCGCAGGCGCTGTTGAAATTTTTCATTGTATTAATGTATCCGCCTACACTACAGGACTCCTGCTCCGATTTTTTATTCAGAGTTTCCTTCTCATAGATGTCAAAGGTTAACGGTTTCCATCCATTCAGGGTGATGGTGATTTTTTTGCTTGAGTTGGTTTTTGGTAGAGATTGAACTCCAAACCACAAGCTTGGGATTGACTCAGTTTACAGCCATCGACCACGCAGTAGATGTGTTAAATATGATAAGAACAAAAGACAAGTGGAGATACATTTGTTATGAATTATTATACAAACAGTCGCAACTCATAGGAAATGGTTTGACTCAAAGGGTCAATATTTAACATAGAAATCCTCTTTTGATATTGACAGTTACACCAAGGTCAACCGAGATGATGACACCTGGACTCACCAGCTGGAGTTGAACTGGGTCAAGGTTGAGAATCTGCTGACAGATAATTTTTACCAGGTAATTATCAAATACTCTTGCTGTGACTTTAATTTTGACCAGATGTTTATCATATAATTCTTACTTTGCAATCAACTCTGTCACTCATTTTGTTGATTTATTCTTTTAATTTTGTTACCAAATGTCAAGTCACTATGGCTACATGTCTCATATTCTCATTTGTTACATTTTCCCTTTTACAGAAAGTTCTTGTGCCCAAAGACCCACAAGGTCAGGAAGGAGAAAATAGACAAATGGCCTTGAGAATAACATGTACTGAAAGGTCACCAGGTAAATTTATTAGATGTCCCTATTTCAGACTCCCTCAATGTCAATAAAACATTCATTTACATTTTGTTAACTTTGTTAAAACAACACAGTGGAGGTCATTTTTGATCAAAGACAACACAATGGAGGTCATTTGGCTCAAAGACAACACAATGAAGGTCATTTTGGCTCACTTTGTAGCAAAGTTTTCCTTTTTAGAGTTTGGGTTGAAACAGACTTTCGTAGATCTCTGTTTGTTTAGTTTGTTGTGTTTTTTATGCATTCAACACAGACCCATGAATATGTATGGTATAATTTGATCTTTTTGGGTGCTGGGTGGCCGAATGGTCTAAACTGAGCAAATCTCAAGATGGTGGTCGGGAGTTCAATTCCAGTCAAGCAAAAACATCACCAGCACCCCGGGTGGATGGGACTCGTTAACCTTGGATGGCAACTCATCTAAGAGAAGAAAACTCTGAATTTAAACCCAGAGATGGAGTCCCATATGCGGATAACATTGGCACAATGAAACATTCCGACAACTCCTGTGACATCACTGGTGTCAAGCTGTATCATCCACAAGATGTTCCCTTGGCTTATCCAGCGGCGTGGAGAGAGGCGATTTTCTGTTGGGAACCAGCTTATAATCCTAGAATAATAATCCCAGGTCTAGTGGATTTCGTCCTGCAAAGTCTTCACCATCATCACATCGCCAGCAAAAAAATTTAAAACAAAATTATTTTTACAGTCATATAAATGTTTATTGTTTAATCAACAAACTCAAGTTCTAAAAATTATAGCAGGAAAAATCTTTCAAATTGGTTATAATTAAAGAGAAACAATTACTTAAAATATTTGATCAAAGTTTAATCTAAAATATATCTGTCAGAAGTGTTGTACACATATAAACAAAACACGACATGGCTGTACACAGACTAATAAAACACCACATTGTTGTACATAGATTAACAAAACACTACATTGTTGTACACAGACTAATAAAAACACCACATTGTTGTACATAGATTAACAAAACACTACATTGTTGTACACAGACTAATAAAAACACCACATGGTTGTACACAGACTAATAAAAACACCACATGGTTGTACACAGACTAATAAAAACACCACATTGTTGTACACAGACTAATAAAAACACCACATGGTTGTACACAGACTAACAAAACACCTCATTATTGTACATAGATAAACAAAACACCACATTGTTGTACACAGACTAACAAAACACCTCATTATTGTACATAGATAAACAAAACACCACATTGTTGTACAAGGACTAACAAAACACTACATTGTTGTAAACAGACTAACAAACACACCACATGGTTGTACACATACTAACAAAACACCACATGGTTGTACACAGATTAACAAAATACCACATGGTTGTACACAGATAAACAAAACACCACATGGTTGTTCACAGACTAACAAAACACCACATGGTTGTTCACAGACTAACAAAACACCACATGGTTGTACACAGACTAACAAAACACCACATGATTAAACACAGATGAAATAAAAAGCAATTGTTTCTCTTTAATTACAACCTATTTGAACGATTTTTCCTGCTACAATTTTTAGCACTTGAGTCTGTTGGTACACAGACTAAGCAAAACATTTTTTTTTATAATAATTTTAGAACCATAAATGCCAGTTGTTCTCAAACTTTTCCATCCGAGGGCTAGATATTTTTTAGATGTGTCCGAGGGTCAGAAAAGCCCCCCTTGGCAGTCTCACATTGACCTGATGCCTGTGATACTACAATCTACATAACAATAGCATTCATATGGCATCATAGGTCATTGTACTGTAAACTTGCTGTAAAATAGAGATGTCAGTGTCACATTAACACTGTAAATTTGTCTTCTGGTCAGAGATGTGCATTGTTATTTTAATGCTACGGTCCATTGTTATTTTAATGCTATGGTCAATTGATATTTTAATGCTACGGTCCATTGTTATTTTAATGCTACGGTCCATTGTTATTTTAATGCTACGGTCCATTGTTATTTTAATGCTACGGTCCATTGTTATTTTAATGCTACGGTCCCTTGTTATTTGACTGCTATGGTCCATTGTTATTTTACTGCTACGGTCCATTTTTATTTTAATGCTATGGTCCATTGTTATTTTAATGCTATGGTCCATTGTTATTTTAATGCTATGGTCCATTGATATTTTAATGCTACGGTCCATTTTTATTTTAATGCTATGGTCCATTGTTATTTTAATGCTACGGTCCATTGTTATTTTAATGCTACGGTCCATTGTTATTTTAACGCTACCGTCCATTGTTATTTTAATGCTATGGTCCATTTTTATTTTAATGCTATGCATTCATGGTATCAGGCTGCTTAAAAAAATGATACATACAATTTTGTTTCGGAAATGTCAGCAGACCAGTTGAAAGGGCCAAATGGGCTAAATATGTGTACCTCTGATGTCCAATATCATGTGTCTCTATGTACTCTATGTGTCTGTTGTATAGTGGGTGGTATACCAGTCAAAGAACACTTTGAAGTGAATGTTGCCCCGATTCAGATCCAGATGACATACCAGTTCTACAAAGCTGTCATGGAGTTTTTCTTTCCTGACAAGAATGTTGACATGGATGATGGTGAGTGACATTTGAAAGTGGTTGATGTGATAAAATATGAAGTGTGTGAGTGACATTGCAAGTTGATGTGGTGGGTGACATTTCAAGTCATTTTAGGTTGTGAGTGACATTTGAAATAAATTGATGTGGTGGGTGAAATTTCAAATAGTTTCACATGGTTGGTGATATTTTAAATAGGTTGACGTGGTGAGTGACATTTTGAAATTAGTTGATGTTGTGAGTTACAGTTGAAAGGGATGTTGTGGATGACATTATGACATATGTTTTGATGTGATATAAAGAATTAAAAAAACAAAATAATTGTGGTTTAACTGAACATGGTTAAATATGTTGATGTTTGATCCTAGCAATGGATGGCGTTAGATTTTGTTTCCAACTAAAACATTTTCAATAAGAACTGACTATGTTAACAATTTTGATAAAAATGTAACCTATGGATGATCTGACCTTTACCAGAAGATGACATGGATATAAAGCAGAAGAAAGAAAAGAAAAACAGCAAGAAAGATAAAGAGAAGAAAAAAGACAAGGGAGATGACTCTGAAAAGAGTTCTCTGCGTTCTGTTGCATCGTTTAGCAGCGCTGACGACATCAACAAAATGAGGGTAGGCTAATTCAGCCCATCGCTAAAATTACTATCTAATCTATATGAAAGTAAATATGTACAATATAATAAAAAAAAAAATCTCCATTTTTGTGACTCAATAAAAGAATCTTATCTTATAGTGATGTATAGTGTCAACTCATATCAATCAATAGGGATGGGATGGGAAGAGGGTGGTGGTGTGATCATGATTATTTTGCCTCTGGATTAGCTAGCTGATCCTATCTGATGACCTGACATTGTTTAGACAATTTACCGTAATATCTGTTTACTGCACATTGTGTATACATTTGACTGTAACATTTGATTGATGTCAAACAGGAAAGAGCTGCCAAGAACAATACATTCTTGTACATCAAAATCCCTGAAGTCATTGCAAGGGTCAGCTATAAGGTCAGTCCTAGCTATTGTAGGGTTTTAATTTATTTATGAATTGTAGGAATATATGTAGGAGACCGGTTTAGAGAACACCTCTACAACATAAATAAACAGGCTCTCTGTCTGGTCTGCAAACATTTCAATAGCACTAACCATGATGGAATTTTAGACATTGCAGTTACTGGTATACTGTATACTAGTAACACATCGGATAGGATCTATATGGCAAATAAATTGATAACAAGATTTTAAAATGATTTTGTTGAATATATATTGTAGTTGTAGTAAAGTTATTTAACTTTCATAAATATCTGATTATTTATTTAAGCCAAAGCTTAAGTTCAAGATAATTTATGATTATATATTTGTATATGTATAAATATATGTTTGACATATTATGTAAATCTACATGATTAAATGGTTTTAAAAATGTTCTGTCAATCTCAAACTTGAATAAACTTGGATATGCTCATAAAACTTGCCAGAGAATTTGGTGGGTCTCATGATAGTCCTGTTGTGTTTAAAAAGGTTAACATGTAATTGAAAAGAAATTTCAGTGAATGTTTTTGTAAAAAATTAGGATTTAAAAGAAAAATAAAAAGCTGTTGCCAAACGTCCCTGTATAAGGTAATGTATTGATTGGTCAAATTTCTTGCCAATCATAGGGCCAGAAAGAGAAAAACATCGAGGATGTTCACGACTTCAGTTTCATCCTCCCAACTGTGGAGTACCACAACTGTATCTGGACATGGTTTGATTTTCTCATCACTCTCAAAAACCACAGCAAACGTGTTCTCTTGTCTCAGGTGAGTCTTTCAGTTTGGTGAGAATATAGCTTTATAGGTAGTTCTTACATATAATAATGCTAAATAGAATGTTGACATAAATGATATTGCTATATAGAATATTGATATATATCATATTGCTATATAGAATGTTGATATATGTCATATTTTCTGCATTTGTGCTATCACACATGGACTACTGCAATGCTCTCATGGTGGGTCTTCCAGCTCCGCTCCTGGATAAAATTAAAAAAGTATAGAATAATGTGGCTTGCATTGTTTTTCGAAAACGCAAATCTGACCATGCTAAAACATTTCTGAGAGAGTTGCATTGGCTGCCGGGCTGTGCTCGCATAGCGTACAAAATAGCAACTCTGTGCTTCCGCTGCTTGCATGACCTGGCGCCGTCCTATCTCAAAGCGCTCATGACGGCTTATGTACCTCTAGACAACTCCGCTCATCCAATAGTGGCAAACTCTCGATACCACGTGTTCGCCCTGAGACTTATGGAAGGCGCAAGTTCGCATTTGCTGGCCCAACAATTTGGAACACACTTCCTGTTGCTCTCAGAAACAGGCAGACACTGGAGTCTTTCAAAAAGGATTTGAAAACGTATCTATTCGCAAACACTTGTTGGGATGATGTAGTCTACCATCTTTTCCAGCTAGCTATTATCTCCTAGATGTATTGTGGCCTGTGATGTTTATGGTTGCAAGGGATGAAAGACTTAGAATGGGTATTCTTGTATGTAGTTTTTGTAATGTTTGGATTTGTATTTCAATGTTGTAAAATATAGATTCTTTTCATATCTCTTTTAATATGGATGACTTTGTACCGCTCTTCAAGCCTTTGAGGATGAAGCGTGATTTTCAAATAAGCTTTATTATTATTATTCTGATATATATATATTATTTAAGTGGGGGGTTGGTACATTTTAAAAACATTTTAAGTACGTGAGTGAAGTCACTTATGTTATAGTAGTATCTCATAACCCGAAAACAATACAGACTTGAACATTTGTATTTAGATAATTTAAAATAAAATTGTGAACTATAAATTTTACAATATTCTGTTTTTACATTCACGTGTGAACATAAAAAAAATGGGGACTCACATTTTAAAAAAATTATTTACTCCAATTTAAAAATAAATAACATCTTTTAATTTAAAAAATCTAGACAATAAAAATTGAAAAAAAAATAAAAAAATTGTAACTATTGCGAGGTAAAACTGGAGTTGTACATTCTAATGTTTACTTAGTTTAGGGGTGTGGAAAAAGTAAGCTGTAGCAGCTTAGGGTGTTAACATCCCTGGGCTGCTTTAGTGATGTTTATTAAAAACTGTAATAGTAAAATGTGATCCCTATTGGTCTGTGTTCTGTGTGACAACTAATCTTTTTTCCTCATTCTACATTCTTTTTATACCTCATATCACATGATCCGTCACAAATGGGGGATGGGGAGGCCATTTTTAGATTCTGTCCCAGACAGCACAAATTATGCCACAGTATAGTTCAACGTATTTTATTAGTACAGTTAACTCAGAGCTTAAATATCTTACACATGGGGAATTCGTATATAAGTAGATTTAAAACTTATTAAATAATGCATTTAACCTTCTTCTAAAATCATATTTCAAAGCGAGTAAATGTGTAAATTTTTACGTGATGACTATCTTTAAATCCAATAATATTACGGTTTGACATAGAACTTCTAATTTTTTTTTTAAAGTATGTGTTATACCAATGTAAGAAAATAAAGTTCAATGGCTTTGACAATTAGTGGGTACATTTACATAAATATACCCATACCTAAAAAAAAGTTGGAAAATGAAAAATAGATGCCTTTTTTTGACAACAAACATCTAGGTTTTCCTAATTTTTCAAAGATACTGTTGAAGGGCGAGGATAAAGGGTGGGCACATATTTATGAGGATAAACAATATGTTTTTATCTAATTACAATGTATTGTAAATATTTATTTAAAATACATATTAAGTGAGAAAGAAAGAGAGTGGGGACTTTTTTTATGTAGATGAAATTATCTCTATCATTTTACACACATGAAAATTTAATCTTAAAGGTCATTTTTGTTTTACTCTAATAGTTTGGGGATTAAATAAGGGTTAAAATTTTCTTTGAAAATGTAGAAATATATTTTTGTTTTCATTTTGCAAAAATAAAGTTCATGGAAAGGTGGATGTAAATTTTTATGAGATTAATAATATTTATAAAAAACAACAACTCAAGGCTGTTAAGGACATAAAAATTGGTTAAGATATCCTTCAATTCTTAAAATTTCTGTGTTTGTTTTATTTTCTGATAATGTAGTAGAGAAGCTTTGGTTACTTTTTAATTAAGATACCAATATATCAAATTCCGTTAATGTTACAGATATTTAAAATTAATTGTATTTAATTTTGTTGTTTAAAGGACATGGGCTGTTTTTGGGGGGGGTGAAAATTCAGGGTCCTGAAAATGGATAGGGTAGACATGTATTATATTGCAGATAAAGATTTCTAAAAATGAAATGATGGTAGAAATTATCAATTCGTTGATACTTCTTTTTAAGACAAAGTCTGATTAACTATTTCCTAAATATACATTTCATTGGCCTGGAATATAGTCATAATTATTTTTCAGTTAAGTACATAACAAATTGGTTTGTAGATGTTATGACTTTGCAATAGCAATTATAAAGTTTCACTAATTGCCATCCATTATTATTCCAGGAACATAAGGTCATATCTTTCTAGTATATTACATTGCTACATAGAAAGTTGATATATATTATATAGATTTAGATAATTTAGATATGTAGTGTATTAATAAATATAGTTTAAATATTTATTACATAGATTTAGTGATTATAGGTGTAGAAATCATTGCAATAGATAATATATATAGATATTAGGAATATAAGTTTAAGAGTTGTTGGAAACAGATAAAAACAAACATAGTTGTGTGTGTGCACTTTATAATAAATATTATTTAAACTGACAAAGCTGATAATTACATTTAGGCTTATTTTAAAAAAAAAAAGTCTTAATAAATTTAGTTTCATTCATCAAATTTAAGAATTTAAAAAAATACAAAAGTATGTCTGGGGCGTGATGCGCCAGATAAAATCTCAGATAAACGTTATAGTAGCTTTGAACTTAGAGTTAATATGTTTCACATAGTGTCCATGTCTAAGCTATCCAATAAAAAAGTTCTTGAAATGTATGTGTGTGAAATAAAACACTGTTGTCTCTATGTCCAGGCCATCAAACAAAAACTCCACTGGAAGGCAAGGGTGCTGGATGAAGCACCACACACAGATGTACAAGAGGAGGAAGACAAGGCCAAAATGTTGCTGGGGGCTAAACTGCTGGTGAGTTGAAACACTGCATTTAAGATAGATACTCTCTTTATCAGTGCTGGAGTCATGAGGTCAAAGGGAGAGAATAATCTGTTTATCAATGGTGGAGTTGATGAGGTAAAAGGGAGAGATTAATCTGTTTTGATGAAGTAAAAGGGAGAGAATCTGTCTGTCCATTGTAGAGTTGATGAAGTAAAAGGGAGAGGATCTGTTTGTCAATGGAGTTGATCAGGTAAAAGGGAGAGAATCTGCTTGTCAAAGATAGAGTTGAGGAGGTAAAGGAAAGAATATGTTTGTCAATGATGGAGTTGAAGGGGTAAAAGAGCGAATCTGTTTGTCATTGGTGGATTTGATGAAGTAAAAGCGAAATAATCTGTTTGTCAATGGTGGAGTTGAAGGGGTAAAGGGACAGAATATGTTTGCCATAGGTGGATTTGATGGTAAAAGGGAGAGAATCTGTTCATCATTGGGTGGATTTGATGAGGTAAAAGGGAGAGAATATGTTTGTTAATAGAGTTAATGAGGTAAAAGAGAATCTGTTTGTCAATGGAGTTGATGAGGTAAAAGGGAGAGAATCTGTTTGTCAAAGATGGATTTGATGGGGTAAAGGGAGAGAATCTGTTTGTCATTGGTGGATTTGATGAGATATAAAGTATATCATCTGTTTATCAATTTAATTGATGAAATATATGGGAAAGAATCTGTCTGACAGTGCTGGAGTTATACGATTAGAACATAATCAAGTTGTCTGGTACAGATGTTGATATTGATATTTTCTCAGTTGAAATTCAAATATTTGATTTTACAGGCTGGCCAAGAGAAGCCATCCAAAAAGGGATTTTTTGGTAAATCCAACAAATCATAAGTCACCACCTGAGTTGATATTGAGCTGCTACAGTGTTGATACTCGATCAAAACACCTACTTGTACAAGTGTGTGTGTTTCTGGCTGTGTTATAAATGATAGACTAAGCATTCCTGATCTTAGTCTTTGTCAAAATTTGTGAAAATCTATTGTTGCAATATTTGGGAAGTCAGTGATTGGTTGTAAGTAGATCAACACATTATTGATACAATATAGGCTGAGACAGCCTACCACATTTATAAGTTGTTACCACTGTCAAAGTTCATATTTTTTAAATTCGCTGTTGCTTAAGCATAACTTTTATTTCCCAAGAGGAAAAACCTGTTATTGACTTTTGCCTTGAGGACATGACAAAAATACAGTTGTCTCATTGAAGTAAGGTCCCCTTCCTCCATACTGGTTTATTTTAAGAAATTGTGATCCTCTGTGTAATGTGTACTCTAATGTGTTTGTTTTTTAATGTCCATGTTTTTATGATGAAAATACTCGGCCTGATATTACGCTAAAAATAAAATTATCATTTAATTAAATTTAAAATATTTATTCCTTCCAATAATTAAATACATTAAATAAGAAACAACTGAATGGTGTTGAAAGATTGGAAATAGGCATAAATCTTATAGTCTTTAGAAGTATTGGCCTTTGTCGAACTTTTTCTTCTTGAGTTTTGGTTGAATTGTGGTTTTATTTCGCACTCTTCAATACAGTCAATCCCATAATCTAACCTAACCAGCTATCAAAACAATTTGATACTCTTATTATAGAAGTGTAACCTTTTAGTTTTAAAATCAATCTTTATTTTTGTTTGGTCACAGAAAATAGAGATGATTTTTCAAGTTCTTTACTAATTGGTGTTATGTTGTCAGGTGTACATTTTAACATAGTAATTTAAATTTGGTTTCTAAATTAAATCTAAAAAGATTTTAATGTTTAATTTTTCTGAAGAGAAAATTGAATTAATATTCCCAAGCATTAAACAGAACACCAACAAATTTGATTTTTTTTTAATAATTCAGCACAACCAGAAAATATTTTTGCTGTTAAGCTACAGCCATTTTATAGTTTTTAGGGTGACAGACTTCTGAAAATATGGATTATTTAAACATTGAAACAAAATAGTGTAAAGTTAAGGAAATTTTATTTGACAAAAAAGTTTTTTCATGAAACATCAGTGGACTAGTGAGTTGATAAAATTGAATTACATCACTGTTCTTATAACTACCAGTCCACACCATTATAGCCCAATGTTATTGCTGATTGAATGACTGGTTTATATATCAATCCGTACCAAATGTCCATGATTGCAGATAGCTTTTGTGATATGTTATCAAAATAAGTTATTTATGTTCATTTCTCCTAGTCAAAAAAAAGACATGCTAAAAGCTTTGACTTGACAGCCTTTACCTCTGGCCCCCCACATTCACCCCACCGGTTGTAAGGCTGAACTAAATTATTATTATCATTATTTTATTTTTAGTTGACTTATTCTCAACCTGTGTTCTGATGTACCCTTAAGTAATGGGAGTTGTTCTTGGTCACCAGGAAGCCGCAATGTTCACTGGAAATGTTCTCTGTTAATATATGGGGTTATTTTCCTATAGGGTCAGCAACCATCAGTTAGATGATCTTGGCCATGACCTTACTTAGGCATTAGCAGCTTTTTTGTATACAAATAAATTACTGCTTCATTTTCCATTGTATTTAAAAAATGGATGACTGTAGGTTGGTGTCTGAGTACTAAGCCTTTATGCCCGAAGTCAAGTTTTGATTTTAGACTTTTGAACAAATTGTTCATTTAAAGTGTTGTTGTTTGATGATGTGAGGGTTTTTGGAGCACTTAGCAGACTTTTTCTAGTAAAGAATAAGTCTTCGAATCTAGTTATACATCAAGCTTAAGAAAAAAATCTGTCATATTAAAATTTTAAAAATAATTATACATCCATATTATGATTTACATTGTTTTAATTGAATGTGTAGTTAATGATTTAACTGTCCACATTTTTGTGAACCATTACTTTTAATTTATGAAATCACTTAAGAACTTATCACTTTCGTTTGTTTGGTAATAACCAATGCATTTACACTCTACATCAGAGGTGGCCACTCCTGCTCTACATCAGAAGTGGCCACTCCTGCTCTACTTGAGAGGTGGCCACTCCTGCTCTACTTCAGAGGTGGCCACTCCTGCTCTACATCAGAAGTGGCCACTCCTGCTCTACTTGAGAGGTGGCCACTCCTGCTCTACTTCAGAGGTGGCCACTCCTGCTCTACATCTAGTGTTTTCTCATGGACAAGCTTATTCTTGTCTTGTAAATAAAATGGTTACTTAGCCAAGTGTTATTAAACAAACAAATACAGAACAACTTGTTTTTGTTTTATAATAATTTTTTTAATTTTTAAAAATAAATTTTAATGTTTGTCTGAAACTAATTGTTGTAGTAAAAGTCATGCTAAATACATTTAACTAGTCTTTTTTTTTCATTATGTGCATTTGACAGTCAAGAAGTAGGGTACAGAAATAGGGGAGTCTACCTTTCTAACATTTCTCACTACTTATCCCTATACTTTGTCTTAAGAGAATGGAGTCATAATAGTGATTTGGAAATAAAAAGAATAAGATTAATTTCATGTTCAAGTTTCTGAGAGGTTAAAACAATTTCTACTTAACTGTTGGCACATATCTCAGTACTATGCCTCTACTTGACTTGTTTTTTAGACTTTTAGAGGTATACAATCAAGGAGTTCCGTGACCAACTGTTGGTACATATCTCAGTACTATGCCTTTATATAATATTATAATGCTAATAAACTGCATTCGTACTTTAACTGGTGCAAGAATAGACTTATTTCACTACTGAGTAGTAGCGTAGATAGGGTCATTACCGCCCGGGGCCAACATCCTTGTCTAATAAGATTGTTAACATCAATTCTTACCTTATATATTTATTTCGATTCATATCCTGGGAAAGTAAAACTCTTCGATGAGAGTTATTCCCCTTTAAAAGTTTTTAAATTATCCAATTTTGTCTCGCATTTCTAATACCGTATTAATTTTGGAATGTGCTGAGAGGGGGGGGGGGGGGGGGGGGGGGGATTGGGAATTTTAAATACAATTTAATTGTGGAACTCCTTCAATATTCTTTAAACATATGTAAAGCATGATGCATCTATAAGAGTGTGTCTCCTAGATTAGTGGGGCCCCTACAAGCGAGGGGCCCTGGGCTAGTGCCCACTGGCAGTGGCGTAGCTAGGGTTGGTGTCACCCGGTGCGGTAAACTCATGGTGTCACCCCCACCCCCCCCCCCCAAACTTCTATGATCGATTTTTTCTTGTTAAAATAAGTCCACAGTATAGCATTACCTTTTAATAAAGCACGCATTTGGATTGGTTTAAATTTGTGAAAAAATATATGTGTGATCGGTTATTCTTTTATGAATCTCGATTTTTGCAAGCAATGTGTGCCCTGTAAATATGCAAATTTTTCAATCGGGTGTCACCCCTAAAATGGTGTCACCCGGTGCGGTCCGCACCCCCCGCACCTACCTCGCTACGCCACTGCCCACTGGGCCTATGCCTTAAGACGGCACTGTGTACGCTATGGATATGACAAGCAACTGGAAGATGATTTTTTTTGTTTTGCGAAACTCACAGCACCAACAACTGCAAAATAAATATTTGATAAAGTAGAAAGCTTCTTTTAGACGCATGGTATCAATTGGGAAGATGTCATTGGGGTGTTTACTGACGACGCTCCATGCTTGAATGCCGTTATGGTTTTCAAAGTTAAGTAAAGCAAAATCCCCAAACATTATTGGCACATACTACCAGTGGCGTAGCTAGTGGGGTGCAGGGGGTGCGGACCAGGGTTTCTTTCAGCTATATCTAGAGGGGGGCAGTGAGTGCCCCCCCCCTGAGCAAAAATATGTCCAACAATAAATCAACTGGCACTGCTGCCACTGCCCCCCCCCCTCAAAAAAAAAATCTGAAGTGCCCCCCACCCCCCGGGAAAATTTCTGAAATAATCACTGGTGCGGACCGCACTGGATGACACCATCCCAAAAAGGGAAAAGGGGGGGGGGTAAATTGCATATTTCCAGCGCTCACACTGCTCGGTATAACCAAACTTCATAAAAGGATAGCGGATCACAGGTTAAACAAATATTTTACCGAAAAAAAAAATATTATCTTTTCATAACTAATTAAAAATTTTTACATTTAAAAAAAAAAAGAAAAAGTGAGTTTTGTAACCAAATATATC